TGCCCATTTTTAGCAGTAACACACCCTTTGCTCATTCGTATAGCGTTAAAATATCTCAGTGAATGGGTTACGCTCGTGCATATTCAAATTAGACGGGATTCATAAACAGGGTTGTGCTCTTGACACAAAACCTTCTCCAACAAATTATGAAGCAAAACGACTGAAATAGACAATACATATGTTTGGTTGTCACCATCACGAATTGGATGGATATTTCTTTTACGGATACAAGGTATATTTACTTTTTATTAACGAATCGCTTCAGCATTACATAATACCATTGTTCGTGTTTGTGCAAACTAAATATGATATTTTTGTATCATAGGTTTAGTGAACAATGGTTTAAAAGTTTTTGACTGATAAATGTTGGTTCAAAAGATATTTTATCGTGTTTTTTTCTTAAGTTCAAAAAAGATATTTTCTTACAATAAAAGTCAAATTGGAGCACATAAGTCATTGTAAGTGTTATTCCCGGAATATGTATACTTTTCGTAGTCCACTAAATCTGACATCTTATTAAGATAAAAGAAACAGTGTTTCAAAGAACGGGATTTTTTAAATACATGTCAGTTTAAAACAAGTAAAAACATTCCTGTCTAACTACAAAAGAAACCTTTCATAATGCCGTTAATACAAGAAAAAGAGGGCGTGTTTCACGGTCTCCATGAAGTTAGTTATAGCTCGTCTAATGATGCTCATATATATAGGTATCATTTTCAAACATCTTGTATCAAATCATACACTAGTATAGAAAATTTTGAAAAGTTTACACAGCCTGACAATTTAGATGATCATACAGAAACTTTCCATGCTGATGATCAACCATGTTGTTCCTATTCTGTTCTGACCAGATCAATGCTAGTAGTTTTTGCATGTACAGATAGTAAAAACGCGACACACGATTTACTGAAACAGAAAGTAATAGAGATATTGGACAAAAAATGAAATTTAAAAACAAAATCACTCCTTTTTCACAAGAATTTAAAACAAAGATCCTTTACTACTTTCATGGTTATTTTTTCTTAGCATTCCGGTAAAAATAATTTCATCTTGAGTTGGCATTATACTACACCATGAATTTGGATAAAAAATATGATTGACAATCAAAATTTCCATAGCTTTTGTGAATCATACTCGGAAGTACGAAGATATAACACCAACTTAGAAAAATTGAAAATATTCAGAATCCAAATATGTGATATGAATAAACAATGTATATTCAGCAAAATGATGAGCAAACGTTTAATCAGCAATGGTATGCTGTTGCGCAACAACACAAATGGCCTATGACAGACGTTTTATGCTCCCACATTAATATAATATGAGGATTTCATGGGCTTTCATCTTTTATATAGCAACAGTTAGTAAGTGGCAATATGACTTATGTTTTGAGTCTTTTTTTATGCTCGAAACGGTAAACAAATTCTTTTTTGCGACCAGTTTAATCGTGGTGTCCAAGAATTAACGCAACACAATCTCATGGTTCCTTTATTTAAAACATTTTTTAGAGACCTAAACTGTGTAAAAGCTATTGCACCAAACGTATGGGAGGTTTTCCTTGACTGTCATATCTCATTTCTTGTCTCATCCAAAAGCACTGAAGACATTGAAGATCTCTTTACTGATTTTAAAGACAACACATTTGTTTGAAGAATTGAGAACACAAACTGGTTTTCTTCGAGGGACCTTTGTCCTTCAAGACATTATTTTAACATGCAAAGGTAAAGAACTTGAAATAAAAGTTGAGTATGCTACAAACAGAATTTAGCTTGTACAAGTATTTCATCATGTGGAGGGTCTGCGGGATGTAGAAATCATCTTACTCAACGAAGATCTGTCTGATCAATATATGTAAAGTCAGAAATATTGGGAATATTATTTCTTATAAATATATTACAGTATAACTCATGGAGGATCGATACAGCTTGGACTATGCGGAATGTTTATACCCATGGATAAACAATGAGAAGCCCGGAGTTCTGAAAATGTTGTGCTCTTTGCATGTTAAAGGACCCTTGCAGCAACTTTTTCTGAGGGGTCCATAGTAGGCCGTGATGTAACAATTTCTTCCCATATATGTAAACTCACATTAATCATGTTAGTCATAACAAAAAATATACGCTTACCTATCAGTACTTCATATAAACTATTTTATTCAGTTACCTAGTGAAATATATGCCGCTGGCAACCGGTATATAATTAAACAGAATCAAAATTATATTAGATTCTTTTATAAGAAACTGCTTAAAATTCAGAAATATATATTTAAATGTACATGCTATGTAAAAATATCAATTGAAAGCCATTTTCTGTTTCGTCGTTGGCTTTTTTCTTGTTGCTCATCTAAATTTCCCTCAAAAGTTGGCATTCGGTGATTACAAAGTTTTCAAATTGACTCGAACATGAATTGCTATTGTTTATTCTTTCGTTAAAGGTGTAATGTCTTGCCTGTTTCAAAACTCAGATATTATTTTCAAACTTTGTATAACCCCATTTGAAAATTTAAACAATAATGAAAAACTCTACTACCGAACTTTGGCCTCAAATTACAAAAAGGATGCATCATTTATAGATTGTACGACCAGGCAAAAACAAATGTTTATACATTTCTCTACACGAAGATTTTAAATTTAGCCTGCAGGTACTGTGGTCCATTAAAGATGAAAATTTGTTGTCTTGGTCACTGCACTAGACCGAAAATACTGCAAAAACAACAAACAACTATGTATTACTGGTAAATTATTAAGTCAGGGATTTCGTTACCACAAATTACTTAAAACCTTTACTAAATTCTTCTATAAATATAAAGATCTGGTTTTGAAGTTTGGTTGTACCTGTAAAAAAACTTATTTCAAACGGGATAGCACATCCTCATTTTTTTACGGAGATGTTGTTTACCGTGCCCGGAAATTTAGAAACGATCCTGGTAAACTTATCGATCCTTTAAATAAATTTATTCTAAAAGGTTACCAATTCAACACTGTAATTAGATCTTTGAATATTGTTTTTATTGGTATTAATATTGCTTTTGTTATCAGTAAATTAAAAGCAAACTTAATATTATTGTTATATACATATGCTTTTTCATGGATCTACAATCTGTCGATACCTGTATCTTGTATGGAATAACCGTTTCACAGATGATATCGGATATATTCCTTATGTCGTAACTACAATACCCTTCCCTTTTCACGAATGTAACCTACCGAATTAGACTATTTACCGGATTTGTAATAACATAAGCAACACAACGGGTGCCACATGTGGAGCAGGATCTGCTTACCCTTCCGGAGCATCTAAGATCACCCTCAGTTTTTGGTGGGGTTCGTGTTGCTCAGTCTTCAGTTTTCTATGTTGTGTTATCTGTACTATTATTTGTCTGTTTGTCTTTTTATTTTTGGCCATGGCGTTGTCAGTTTTTTTCGATCTATGAGTTTGACTGTCCCTCTGGTATCTTTCGTCCCTCTTTTTTTTTGGCATTGCACAAGGTCATGTTTTTCTCTGACTGTTTATGACGTCTTTACACTAAATCCATTGGATGTTGGATGTGTACTGATTGATAATTTAGTCATAGATGCATGATTTTTTTTATTAGTTGTTATTGGCTTTGAACTAGCTGTCAGTAACTGCAAGTACTCTCAGATCTGTACTTAGTGTCTTTTTGTTGTTGGGATGTACAAGTACCCGGCCACGTCCACTCTGTGTTTTTGTTAGATGTATTTTTATTTGTATCCATCTGATGAGTTAAGCCTTTTTCAACTGATTTTTATAGTTTGTTCTTATGTTGTACTGTTACACCACTGTCCCAGGTTTAACCCCGCCAAATTCTGTATGTATGTGCCTGTCCCAAGTCAGGAGCCTGTAATTCAGTGTTTGTTGTTTGTTGCTGTGTTACATAATTTGTTTTTCGTTCATTTTTTTGTACATTAATAAGGCCGTTAGTTTTCTCGTTTGAATTGTTTTACATTTGTCATTTCGGGGCCTTTCATAGCTGACTATGCGGTATTGGCTTTGCTCATTGTTGAAGGCCGTACGGTGACCTATAGTTGTTAATTTCCGTGTCATTTGGTCTCTTGTGAAGATTTGTTTCATTCGCAATCATACCACATCTTCTTTTTTATATAAACACTACAAGAAAACCTAAAGACCTGGCAACACGAACCTAACAGAATACCATGGTTCAACCTAGGTGCTAAAGAAGGATAGGCATATCATGTTCGACATATGCAACCCGTCGTGTTGCTCATGGCAATTTCAAATTCAGTGATAACTCTCGTTCGGTGATGTCACAATCCAGAGAAAAAAGAACGGTATATTGGCTATGACAATAAGAACATATCCGGGGGCATACGTAAGATTTACCCAAAATTTGAATATCTGATTGCCGAAAAATATGATTGATTGATTAAATGATTGCTAGTATCAAACGTCACTTTCAGAACACTTGACTTCATCAAGGTGGCCGTTTTTTTCTTGGTTGAGGAAACCGGAGTTCACGGAGAGATTCACCGATCTTCGGCAAAAAAATCATGGCCATCCTAGTCAATTTATTTAAGATCGGGTTAGAACGCCTCTATCCTAAACGGGATTCGAACAAAAACTCAAATTTGACAGAATATTGATCACTGTAGATGAACTCCCTGGAAAGTATGTTGAGACAAACATGCAAACTTAACCATTTGTTAAAAGCCAATAACCTTCGGGAGCCAATAAGGTAACACCTGCCTCAGAATCTCTAAACATTAGGTAAGCAATAAATGGCATAAACAAATTGGGATACTTTTAATCGCTCGCAACACAGGTTCAATCTAATTACATATTAAATCCTTGGTTTCGTCATTAAATCACGTACAAATTTTCAGCCAAATATTTGTAATTAAGAAATATTGAAAGACTGTCAAAGTCTTTAAGAAATAACAAATAGTACATCGAATACGTAGGTTTGGTATTTAAATACCTAAATTGAGAGAAAAAGAAATAACCAAAGACAGTCATTTGAAAATTTTGTACACTTTTATTTAACAATTCAGTTAATTAGATCAATCATCTAATGCATAAACTTTCACTTCAGCAACACTGAGGTATTCTCTCCCTTTGATCGTCAACCTGACGTAACGTGCATATTTGGTATTTTGGTTACATTCGAATACAAGATGTTCTCCAATTCGACTTGGTCCTTTGTAATGAGCACATAAATACATCTGATTGTGAGAAGGTCCAATTGTTATATCCAAGTCGTGAAGTCGATCTCCTGCAATATTTGATAAACACAAAATGCAGTTAGGCTTTACATCTGAAACGTAGTTTCTTGAATTAAGAAATAGAGCTTGACAAACAACAAAACAAGTGTATGTGGAATATTAGACCAATCGAAAAAGTTTTATTTTTAAATATTAAAAAAGTCTAGATGAACATAAAACTATCTTTACATTTGGTGCCATTACACCATACACGTTACACCTTTGCACCATACACCTTACACATTACACCATAATGCAATTTAATTTCAAAGAAAGCGTGCGCCTACAAAATTATTTATTAATTTTAAAAAACGAGTTTTGATCACAATATAGTAAATTAATGAATAAAATTAAAAATCATTTCTTATCAATATTTTGCATAATTTTAAATGTCGTACACCATTCATTCACACTATTCTCGATCGCACGTTACACCATTTCACTATTCCCCTTTCACCATACACCATAGTACCATACACCTACCATTGCACCATATGCTAAACACCATTACACCATACACGTTTTTGTTGGAAGTTTACACCATCCAAGGGCTGTATGAGAATGAATCTCTATGCTGTACTAGACAGACACGATAAATCGAGGACATGTCACTTAATCTTGACCTATAACGTTTATGACTTGGATGGAGAGTTGTCTCATTGGCACTCATACCACATCTTCGTATATCTATGACATCAAATTGCGTAACTGTCACATGACTAAAAACAGCAAACATTGACACAAAATACTTCTTACTTATGACTGAATCATAGCAACTTAAAAACATTTAAAAGAATTGAGTTGTGTTAGCCTACTAAAGCGATTACTTACCACAACAATCTTTTCTATTGAAAATGTCTATCCTTTTTATCTGAAATTCATTCCCTAAATCAACCTCCAAGTAAGGTGATTCGTCAAGTTCTGTATGACTAGCTGTATCTAAATTTCCATCGACAGAAGCACTGGCGTAAGCTTTTCCATAATCTGAACTTTGCCTTGTTTGTTTTCCATATGCAATTTCTCTCAATTGAGCAATATTTTGATCTATGGAAACAAACATCAACAGCATTAACTCAATGAAAATCATGCACTTGACGATTTTTAGGCCTTTTTTACTCGTGTTTTTAATGGTCCGATTATACTTGCTTAGAACAAAGGTAGACGTGTGGTGCTTATGCTACCTGCGCATATTATGCAGACACCGACCCTGTTGGTTTATTCTTCGACCAGTCAATGTCTAAACTAGTAGCGAATACATACAAGGAATTTGATAAAACCTGGGAAAACATTCCGATTAAAGGAAATTTAGAGGGCGAAGCGTTGGTTTCAGTCATTCTTTTGTTTTTGCCTGCTGAAGTACATGCATTATACTGGTGAAAATGCTTTTCGATTTAATAGTGAAATTCCCATTAACAGAAATCTTATGCATTTAAATGTGATACGCTTGGAAGATAATAACTATTTTTTATGACCCAGATATATATTCTATAGTTTTAGTGGTGGAGATGAAAGGAGAACTGTTATCAACATAACATTCTAATTAGACTAGGAGAAGAGAGACGATAGACCACTAATGAAAATATTTTATATTTTGGACAGAGACACAGACAAGTGGATATAGATATTATTACAGGTATTAGTAATTAATTTTGTGTAAACATTAAAATAACATTTAGTTAATTGTGTGCATCATAAGCATTTCTGAGATTACCGTAATCTGGAACGTTTGAATCCCAACATTTGGAAGCCAATTGTGTATGAAAAATTAAATACATGAGAAGGTATATGACCACAGAGAGCACTGACAAGAATATTCATATTTATCTGAGGTCGCTTTGCCTATTTGAGTGGAAGCCTTAATTCATTAGAGATTGTTAAATATATCAACGGATAATTTTCGAAAGGTATGATGTTAATCATGGCTGTACCGAAGCACCGACTATTGAGCTAACGAAACATATGTGCTAGCAGTTCAACAGCAGCGACCCAGTGCTAGAAAATGAAATTAACACACGATGCATTCGGAGTGTTTTTCGCCTTAAAATTACTTTACTCGAGTAGTATAATAAATAAATGCTGTATTTCAAAGGCACAACAAAAAGCCGTACACAAAAGAATGTCTGAATGAAAAGGGGGCTTCTTTACTATATTTTTCTATTTTGTCTATTTCAGAACCCTATTTTTCAGTTTTTTAAAACATAATCTGTCCCATGTGTCTCTATTTTTTCCCCCAGTATTCTCTATTCTGTAAACCCCATCCATACTCTCATAAAGACAATTCGAACAAGTATTCTCCTTATTTTTTAAGCTAAATTACTAGAATATGAAACACGAAGCATTAGTATTGTAAGACGTATGTTTATGAAATATATTCAAACTTCAATTGAATGGACTTCTTTCATGAAACTATCTGCATGGCAGTATTTCAGTGATATGCGATAATTATAGGTTGTATAATCGTTCTTATTATCATCATAATATCAGTTTTTGTTTTGGCTTCTTTCTTTCATTTTGGACATTTTCTTTTATATATTTTAACATGAGAACTAGGAAAAGTTCTGTAGTTAAAGTCAGTAAATCTATAATCTAATCGCTGTTTCACTATGTGGTTAAAATTTCTATGAGCTTACTCATATTTTTAAGGTATGAAATATAACAAAAGACATTTTGACAAGTTACCTCTCTGCACAACTTCAAGAATGTCTTGTAAAATACCGTTATGACGGTTCAAAATAGCAGAGGTTTCGTTTAACTTTGATTCCATTCTCTCCAACGACAATGACTTTGGTCCAAGAACAGAAATTATGATATTCCCTGTAAATTAAAAAACGAATTGAATATAATATTCATATTTTAATTTAATTTTAAATCCTTACCAACTTTAAAGGGAACAAATCCCAAACAAGATATTACTGTGTTTGTTGTTTATTTATTAGACTATTTTCATGAAAATGTATCAAGAAAGTGCATCTGAAAACGTTTTATGATTTCTACTTCATAGTAATGTATTTGACAATTCTATCTAGTTTGGTGCTATACATTGTTCCCCTGTGAGTACTCTTTACAGTAATATTGTCATTTTCGATGTATAAGAAAGAGATAATTAGATCAGAGAGTAGATAGAAATGTGCTTGCTTGCTCGCGAATTTCAATCCACAAACAGGACCAAAAACTGACTTTACTGACTTTGTAATCTCATTATCAAACATAATACTGACAATTTAATGAGTTGTTCAATTCCGATTAATACAATGTGATTTTAAAGATTGATAATTTTTGTAAAATTATACTATCAGTTGTTAACTACTACTGTTACAAATATACCAACTTCACCTGCATATGGGATATATATTTCCCAACTCATTCGGTATTCAAGATCTTGCAACTGCTACTCAGACTTTATAAAACGTCACCAGTGTCTTAGGAGAAAGTTGATGAACCAGGGTTATGTCAAAGAACGTCTCGTCTTTTTTTTACCGACAATACGACTAATTAAAGAGTTTTTAGTTTGCTTTGGACATCGCACACATTAATATATCCTCCAGAACTGAAAATTAAAAAAAAAAAAACAAAAAAAAAAAAACAGACACGGCTTCCTCCGCTTCATATTTAGACTTATACCTCAAATTTAACATCAGCGGTCATCTCAGTACCAGAATCTATGACAAATGAGACTGTTCTAATTTTGAAATTATCAATTTCCTCCACCTTAGTAGTAATATACCAACTTCACCTGAATATGGGATATACATTTTTTTTTAACTAATTCGGTATTCAAGAGCATGCAGCTGCTACTGAGATTTTATAAAACGCCACCAGTGTCTGAGCAGGAAGCTGATGAACCAGGGTTGTGTCAATGAACGTCTCGCACTTTTTCTAAAAAAAATCATCGGAAGATACCAAGACCTTGTTGAGAAATATTCAGTATCAGCTTCACAAATAATACATGATGGTCATAAAGTATAGATTCTAGCTAGGTACTGACGTTGTTTATCATCTTAATTACGTGTTATAGTGTTCTTTTTATTTGTCTTTATATATTTTTAACCTTTACTCTTTAGTCCATTTTTGGTAATATAATTTTGGCGTGGCTCGGTATTCATTCATGTATTATTGTGCTATGATATTTTTTTGTATTCTTGTCTTTCATGTTTGCTTATTTGCTTTGTCTATTGAGTGTCTACATGTCATTTTTTTCTTTATTGACATAGTTGTTAGTTTTCAAAGTGATTAAGATAATAACACAATGTTGACTGCTGTACCCCAATTTTTAACATTTTTACCTATTATGTCTGTTTGTTTTGCTCACACATTGTTGTCACTATAATATAATTTTACGCGACTGTCATACAAGTGAGAGGTTTAGCTAGCTATAAAACTAGGTTTAATCCACGATTTTCTACATAAGGAAATGCATGCACCAAGTCAGTAATATGACAGTTGTTTGCCATTCGTTTGATGTGTTTGAGCTTTTGATTTTGCAATTTGATTAGGGACTTTCCGTTTTGAATTTTCACTAGAGTTCGGTATTTTTGTTATTTTACTTTTTATGGCTCAAATCTTAATAGAATGGTACCTGTGTAGTTTCACTGATTCATTATTTGTATTCTGCGAGTTACAATTTGTAGCCTACACAGATTTTCACGAATTCAAGAACTAGAAATACACGAAATGATAACTAGCCTAGAATCTTAGTTTGCTGAATTAAAAGAATTAAAAAGGTTTACACATCCTACATCGTCGATTGAATTGCCACATTTACAGGTTTTCTTCATGTTGAGTAATGTCCCTTCCAATTCAAGGCTCTTAATTTCAAGTACGTTGTTATCTACGAAATCAATTCCAAATTTTAAAAGATAATCAGGTTTTAAACAGTTATTCCATACTTTTCTTTCAAAACTAAAAGGATTTTGCCATTACGGCAGTTGGTAGCATCCACATTATCAAGCTTCTTTACAAATTGAAATAATTTCAATCGAAGGTTAGTTAGATCTTCTTTAAAGTAAATACCATATATATCCAGCTTACCATATAAAGCTTTTGTTTTTCAAAAACCTTTGCTTTACAGTTTTTCATAGAACACAAAATGAAGGTGCGTGGATTGTTTAGGACCCCTTTCTTATCAACACAGTGACATCTTACTAAATCAGCTTGCTTTAAAAGGTTTAATACATTGCATGACAAGTAGATACTAGTATGGAGAACAAATTTTCGCCATTTTCCTAAGCTATACCGGCGAGTCTAATGTTTTTCTCATCTGCTGTCAATAGCTTAAGCATTAAGTCTAACAGCCGAGTATATTTTCTCAATTTTGGCGTCTTGCAACACAATTTTTTTTGATTTCCATGCTATTCGAAAGCACATTTACGGCTGGTAGTGACAGTGGCATAACTTAAAATGCTATCATATCGGATTCGTCTAATTCCTGGGAATTTTCTGTCTTAGCTCGAAGTTATTCTTGTAAATCACATAATGGATTATCAGCTATAATGTCTGATCGCGCTTCTGCAAAATTGATGCAAACTACATTAAATTATTCGCCATTTTCCTAACATGGTTGTTCCTTGGCGACATTTGCATACGCTTGGAAGAGGATAACTAGTTTATTCTGTCCCAGTGATACGAAAACGCCATTATGCTGCTTCCCTACTCAAGAATGGGAAGTTTGCAATATAAAATAAATTTTATTAATGCGTGTATTGTAAATCCCATAGATTTAGTGGTGGATATGAAAGGAGATCTGGTATCAACGGCAATTTCTAATTTGATAAAGGTAGACGGAAGACTATTAATGCAGATATTTCATATTTGGACACAGACAAGTGGTATGGATACGAGGACTAGTAATTAATTTTGTATATATTAAAAAATGGAAAAAAACACTTAATCGATTGTATGCGTCTTAAGCACTTGTTTGAGTTTATCGTCTTTCGGAACGTTTAAAAAATAACATTTGAAAGCCAATGATGTATGAAAACTTGAATACTTGATAAGCTACATGACCAAAAATAAAACACACAAAAATAGCACAATTCACATAAGGTCACGTTGCTTGATAGAGTTACAACCTTAAGTTCTATATGAGTTTAAAATTTATTAACGGAGAATTAAAAAAAAGGTAGGATGTTATTCATGGCAGTACCGAAGCACTGACTATTGAGCTGATGATACCTAGGTGCCAGCAGTCCATCAGCACCGACCCAGTGCTAGAAAAAGATAATGACACATAATGCATGTATTTCGTTCAAAGCGCTTTTCTCCTTTAGGATTAATCAACTTAAGTAACAGAATGAATAAATACTGCAGTTCAAACGCACAACAAATGGCCATGCACACAGGAGTGTCTGAATGAAGAGGATGTAGGGGTCCTTTCTTTCTGTATGTTTGATATATTTTTTTGTTTCGTTTTGGACATTTTCTTTAATTTTTCGAATCAATAGAAAAAAGAAGAAAGTTGACCACACAGGGGTATTTGAATTGTTAAAAAACAATTGAAATTCAGAATATAACAAAATAACAAAGTAATGCAGCAAACATTTAATCATTCCTTGTCATATATACATGTACAAGAGGTAATTGATTTTAATGAAGACAGCCTCATTAAAATCTGCATAGTAGGCATCTTTAACAGTAGTCGTTAACAACTGAAAGTACAATTTTACAACACTTTGCAATCTCAAATATCACATTAAAGGAATTAAAATTTAACAAGTCATTAAATTGTCAGTATTATGTTTGGTAATACTATTACAAGGTCAGTAAATTTTTTTGTTACTGTATGTGGATTGAAATCTCCGAGCATGCAAACTTAACATCTAGTCTCTGATGTGTATTCAGTTATGTCTCTGTCTAAAACATCGAAAATGTGAATGTTACTGTAAAATACTACTCGCATGCAAAATATGCATAGCAACGAATAAGGTAGAATAATCAAATACATTACTATTAAATATAAAACACAGCTATACCTGCTGTTGTAGCTCGAAGTAATTCTAGTAAATCACACAATGGCTTATCAGCTTAAATATTTGCAATTTTCCTCACATGGTCTTTCTTTTGCGTCATTTTTTCAATTAAGTATTTAACGGTATCCTGTTACAATTTTCAGTTAGATGTAAACATATAATTACGATAATTGACCATTGCGTTATAACTGCATATCTCTATCATCAACAGAAAGTGTATTACATTGATGTTGGTCGATTTCAATGACTTCATCACTCCATATCCAGGAGTACCATGTAAAGTAAAATATATTCCGATTCAGAGCATATGTCAATCAATTCAGAAAGCACACTCGCATGCAATCATTTGTAAAAACATAATTAAATTTCAGGGGTATCTTTAAACGCGATGTGTGTTTTACAGCCATACAATCATTGCTGATATTTTCAATGACTCTATTGACTATGTATTTATCATTCTGTTCCTTATGCAACCTATGACGGTCCATGAATTTGCAAGGATAAATGGATTTTTTCTTAAACTTGTATTCTAAATGTTTAAATTTGTTTTTATTCATTAGGCTTAAATGAAACGCAGTTTGTGGCTACATTCTATAAATTTTAGTACTTTAATATATCTCGAAATTGTTTATTGTCCTAATGTGGAGAATCTTTTTTTGTTAGTGTTTTTGGTTAGGGTTTGGGCAAATCAAAATATTTTTAAGTGTGGCCCAAGATACAGAATGTATAGCAAACGCATAAAATGTCTTTATCAATGATGTTAATGCATATTACATTTTTGGGAAGTAAGGCCTTCTCTCATACTAGTATATATTATCTCATAAACACTATTCGTAAAAGAGCATTTGTTGTAGATCAGATATTTTATCACGTCATAGTAACATCACAACTGATATGGCTGCACTTAAAAAGTGACCAGATTATATCAAAAAATTCCTTTACCAATTCAACATGCATGTAATTTTGAAAGACATGAAGAATTTTACTTATTTTGCAGGGCAGATATATATCGTGTTTGCTATATATATTGTAAATATTCGAATGAATATTAAACTAAAATACATTAGATCATCTTAGAAAAGTTAAAATGCGTTTTCAGCTGAGAGAAAGAATGCTTACTCTTATTTCACTTTACTATTGACGGCTGTACAGCATTTAGGTTTCATATAACAAAGACATCGAATAATAAAAAATGATCCGATGTTTCTGTACTAAGTTTATATACAGAATTTAAATACAGATCAGAAATAAGCGGAACCTGTTGTCGTGATTCAAAATGTGACTAGATAATATGATTTGTTTCTTCGATATAAATTAATATATAATAAGAAATAAAAATAACTACACGGAAATGTTTGCTGCTGTAACATCTTACATATACCCGTAAAAAAACCTTACATATATAACCGTTATAAATAATAGACATTGAATTCGATCCCTAAATATAATTTCTTGTAAAAAATATTACCACAAGAATTCTGCGAAAAATGATGTTTTGTATCATTTGAAAAGTTTGACACTATTACTTTTATTTGAATTACACGTTGGTTTAACACTTGAATTACAATTGAAGAAAATTAATGTATACCTGAAGAAGCTACAAGGGAACTAGACTTTGAAATGTTATATTTGATTTTAAACCAGAAATTAGGGATATATATGAAGTGTTAAAAATATCGAAACATATTTTAATGCTGGATCTATTCAATGACAATGACTTTATTCGCTAATATATCATATGTTTTGGGGGCGCATATATTTCCGTCCCAAAAACATCTATGATAAAAATCCCTACGACATAAACAATATGGAAATAACAAATTGTTTTCGTATGATATGAAAATAAGGACCGCGGTGTTTTCACAATTTGCAATCTTTCTTTATCAACTTTAATCCATATAATATTGCATTTACCAATATAATATTTGATATTGGAAACAAAGTATGATTGGAATTTGCAGCATTTACATTTATAATGTTTATATCGCTTGCAAAAGGGGAATAATCCAATTTTATGATTTTGTGTTTGTGTGACGGACAAATTCCGGAATGTCATACTTTTACAGCACTTGTTGGTTTATTAATGTCTTTTAGTACGGACATACACTTGTGACATAGACTATTAATGGAAAGAGTAATGTTTAAAGTCAATGAAAATGTATAAATACATTCAGGTACTTCACGATCGTTTAATGTATGTTTTCCTTATAAACAAGGAAGTCTTAACAATATGAAAATAATACATGTGCAGATTTTGTGTGTATTCGAATTGTTTACATTTCTTTACCTATTTGATTATGCTTGGCTGCTATTTCCTCCATTCTTTTTTCATTCTGGTATACGTAAATGGCCATCAGTGCTACAACAATAGCATTAATGAAAACTGATATGTAATTCATGTCTTTAACAAAACACATTGTTAGTGTAGTTCAGATATAAACCAGATAGTCGTATGTTTGTTTCAATCTTTAACTTTACACAGCATACAACGAAGGGAGATAAAGTTTCAATAAGCATTCGGGTAAGACGGTCAACAATGGTTATACATTTAAACCTAGCGTGTATCATTGAAAAATTAATTATATTTTACATTGAACAACGTTAATGATTTCAATTGACAACCATTGATCCATTTTAGATTTTAAATAACCGTGTTGTAGTATTTACCCATAGAATAAATAAACAAGTATACTTTTAATGTAAAAATATAAATCCAATTTTTTTTTTCGATAAATATGGATTGTAGATAAATACCTTAAATAACGGAATTTGATATTCAAAGTGCCACGTTTATTCCGAAATTTATATCTGTATTTACTATGTTTTTGTTTTAATCATCCACAATCTAATCAGTTTTATACATTGTTATAATGATTCCTTGCTAGTTTTTTTTTTACAATTACACATTCCTTGATAGAGGAATTAATGGAAAAAAGAGTTCCAAGTTTAAACTGAACTAGTACACAATTTTATTTAGGGGCCAGCTGAGGACAACCTCCGGGTGCGAGATTTTCTCGCTGCGTTGAAGACCCTTTGATATCTTTCGCCTCTATTTTACAAAAAAAGCGTAATAGTAACTTGAAAATATAAGCAATACACAAGTCACTTTATGCTCGCGTGGGAATTCCAGTTGATAATATACGCTTTGACAATAAGCTATTCATAATTAAATAATTCAGTCAGTGAATTATTTACACATGTTACATTTACTCATTGTTTCACAGTAGTTGCAAACTCTGCATGAATTGTCTTGAATTGAAGATCTTAGACGACTATTCAGCCATTTTAGATGAATATAAATTCAAATACGTCTGTGGCAGACGGGTTTTTATGTAATTGTTATTTCCCTTGTTTAAAACTATTAATTTCATATTTCTTTATTTAATGATTTACATGAAGCTTTTTGAGTATATATTTGTTAACTTGGATAGTTATTATTATTTAGAATTCATTGGTTAAAGATATTTATTGATATTCCAAAATTTAGTATTTGCATTTGATAAGAAATGGAGCAGACAATTTAGTCAGTACTTGTTGTAATTGGATATGACAGTCCTAAGCAGACCAGTTTTGAATAAGTGTTCCTGGGGTACTTTTTTTCCTTTATTTGGTTCATTTTTTCAAATGGGTTTTCAGTTATGATTACGTTTGAAAAAAACTTTTGTTTGATGGTGTCAGCGTTGATATTACAGATTGTTTTGTTCATTTTAAGACAGTTTCTCTTTGGAATCAGTGGAATGAATTTGAGATGGCAGGTCAATTAATAATTAATTTGAGAGGTCATGCAAAAACAATTTTACGTTTCTTAAAAATGCCTCAGTTTTATGATTATGACTGCTTGAAAAAAAACTAATTCAGAGGTTCAATCCTTAGTCATACATCAATGTACTCATGAGATGCCGTGCACCTCACCTGGTTATACTTTTTCATAGATATAAGAAGATGTAGTATGAGTGCCAATGAGACAACTCTCCATTCAAGTCAAAATTTATAAAAGTAAACCATTATAGGTCACAGTACGGTCTTCAACACGGAGCCTTGGCTCACACCGAACAGTAAGCTATAAAGGGCCCCAAAAATTACTAGTGTAAAACCATTCAAACGGGAAAACTAACGGTCTAATCTATATAAAAAACGAGAAACGAGAAACACTTATGAACCACATCAACAAACGACAACTACTGAACATCAGATTCCTGACTTAGGACAGGTGCAAACAATTGCAGCGGGTTTAAACGTTTTAATGTTTATTACTTGAATTATGGCAGTTCTTCTGTGAAGTTTAAAGTGTAGATTGTTAGCTAGTTTAAGTAGGAATTGGTTTGTTTTATGAGTCGTTGCTCGTTTGTCTGGATTGTAGTCTCTATCTAAATATTTAATATTGAGAGAGTTTATAGAAGTCCGAATTCTTGACTTGGTTATGGGAGAAAACAATAGAGAGAAAGTTAAGCTTCAAGTTAGGAACACTTCTAGCTTATACAGATGGATTTGATCCATTATTTAGTTCCTTGCACAAAATTGGGCATTGTTCATTTTATTTTGAGACCCTTGCATACAGATGGACCCGGTCCATCTCCGGTGGTACACCATTTGTGCTATCGTTATCTACAACGCTGGAATGCAATAATAGAACCCGGTGGTACACGTCAAATGTGTCATTGTGAGATCAATATTGGTGGACATTACCTGGTACAACTTTTCATGGATTTCAACATTAGATGTGCTGTTACAATATATGCCGTACCACTGAATCTGAAGACAGTTACCAAGAATACTTAAAGGTCGCGTCCGTTAACAGGTTAACCTGATTCTGATTTGTGTCTGTGTATGTGTTATACAGTGACATTTATTTAAAAGTGATATTTTACATGCGTTTGAAAGACATTTAATCTGATGAACGTCGATAGACTTTGTTAAATTTTAATTTCAAATGTTATTTCATATACATTTGTTTTCGTAATGGAGGAGGAGTGTAGCAGATTGGTGTAGTGGTCTCCCTTGAACAGTTTGACAGTCTCATTATTTAACTTTACCTGATGTATATTTGATTTAATATTCAATCCTGACATTTCCATTTTGCGTGTATATTGTTGCAGATACATATATTTGATAGACATTTAAGTTTGCAGACTTTATTTATGAAATTTATCGTTTGTCTTAGGGGGAGGAATGTGGCAGACGGGATTATTATGTAATTGTTATTTCCCTTGTTTAAAACTATAAATTTCATATTTCTTTATTTGATGATTAACATGAAGCTTTTTCAGTACATATTTGTTATATTGGTATTTAGAATTCATTGGTTAAAGATATTTATTTATATTCCAAAGTTTAGTATTTGCATCGTCGCATATCATGTATTACTTTCTTCGAAAAACTTATATACTTTATATATCTGGTTTGAAATTGTTATGTAGAATGGTCTGAGGACTGAAGTTCAGTCCAACCAAGGAAAACTGTGCTTTTTCAAAACTTCCCTTAAAAGCGCTTTAAGGTTAGTGCATCTGCCATATGCCTTCTTGATACGGGTAATTATTGAAGTCATTGAATGCTCCATTCCTTTACTTTTGGATTTCCTTAATAAAAGTTGTACTTATTGAATAAATTGTATATTGTTTTCACTGTATTTGGTTTTCCTTTACTTAGATATTTAATTAGCGCTTTTACAATTGGCATCGATCGTCTCCGTTTAATTAGTTCACAAACTAGAACAAGGTGTGGTCCGCATGACCGAATCTCCAGCAGAATTGTTCCTGCTACACATCATTAGTGTGTTAAACCATTTAAAAGATCCCAAACTGGCTTAGGCTGTCTATGCTTGGGGTAAAATACCTTAGTAATTCATATTGTTTAGAACTTTTATAAGCAATGACAATACAGAGATTGAAGTATCAAAGATATTGCACGCCAGCACAGAAGCGCTGAACAATGGCATGGACAGGTGACAAAACGTCCACCAGCAGCTACATCGACCAAGTGATTCTAAAAACTCATTTTATATAGCAGGTTTATAATTTAGTACGTCAGAATTAGGTTTCGTGTATGAAATACTCATCAGTGACGCTCTAATCAACATAGTGGAATGATCAAATCAATAACGAATATGAAGGGCTTTTTAATTACGAGTTTATGCAATTCAGTGTGTTGCATACATGTCCTAATTTATACATCCTCTCTAGAAGCATTTCAAATCAAATATGTCAACATTTATTCATAGAAATGTAAAATACACTTAAGTGTCCCACGGAGTTAATAAGCTGTGTCACAATGTTCCTGACTTATAAAATTTCTACTGAAAATTAGTTTGAAAACGTATGAAATATCAGGAAGTATGATTGCTACCATTTCGTTTCATTTGGACTAAAATTCAGTTTAGAATTGATACGATTAAGTTTTTTTACCTCCATATGCTCCCTTCCTAATTACGTTTCTATTTAATTCTTTATATTCTAATTCACAAAGCTCAAACGAATATGAACTATTTGATAAATAAGATAACACATAAATAGGAAAATACGCCTACAGGTGAAACAGATAGCCTTTAAAATAAGTATTGCGGGTATATGCCATCCAACCATAACTAGCATGAACACAATCGATATGCTTAGTACAATGTATTACATGTATAAACACAAACATGTGTTTATAGCAAACAATCACTTGACCGTTACTACATCATGTGACCAAAATCTTGAATAAATATATGTATACCATCTTTATATAAAAAATACACTCTTAAAACACTTAAATTAAAATATTGCATTTTTAAAATATAATGAGGCTAGTTCAGGTAAACATAATAATTAGATTAAAGTTCGCTGGGGACGGAGGACGAGTATTTTAGAGTGCATGTGATGTTTATTTTAATGGCATATATTTGCAATTTGTTTAAGTTTTGAAAGGCCTTTCATGTGACTTGCCGTTATCTAACCTGTTACTTCCAAATACTGTGTTTCGAGTTATTTTTGCATCGGGTTTTGTTTACTGTTTAGTTGCTAAACGGGGCAGCTAAGATTTTGTGGTGTTTCTTGTACAAAAAAAAAATACATGACCAGTGAAATATTTGCATTATTTTAAGTCAATGTATGGCTAAAATGGATATAAATCAAAAAAGCGAAAATTTGACATAAATATATCATCTTCTTTTTGTGAAATTCATGTAGCCAACATTCTTCCTAAACTTTCTTATATTTCAAATTAAATCTGGTCTACCTTTGTCCGAAAAAAAACAAACCCATAACCATCCTCCAATGCTCATGCAAAAATTTAGATAGCAATATAATATCGAACTCCTAGAAAAATTCATAGCGGAAATTCCTTTATCATATGGAAAACTAAAAGCTCAAACACATCAAACACATCAAACGAATGGAAAACAACTACAATATGATATTCTAATGCAATTATTTTGTATCAATGGTTCTGATTGGATGATAGTAAGCGTAAAATTATGTATCTCCTTGTCTGTAACTAAAGAAGCCGACATTTTGAATA